CCAGCTTCTTCCTGGAATGAGCAGGATTCCAGGTTACTAACGCTCTAAGAATAGTCACAGCTCTCCAAGCGGTTGAGCCGAACCTGGACATCTCGTAGTCTACATAGGTGCTGAGACGAAAGTCTGCAAACTGCTGACGCAATGTGGACTCCTGGGTCATTGACTTCCATCACCTGCTATAGGTGGATGTCCAGCCCTTTCCTGGACTGAGCTATATTCTTGATTACTCATGCTCTAAAGATAGTCACATCCTTTTAAACGGCTGAACCGGAACTGAGAGGCCTTGGGTCATCCATGATACCAGGATCTGCATATCAGCCTCGAGGAAGAGACTTCACTTTTGGCTCAGACTGGAACCTGGTCGTGGCTCGGGCGGGAGCATTCCAGCCAGAGATATCCCAGGTATAGTCGAGCATTTCTGGCTTACAAGGACTAGACTAGACCTTAGAGGAGTTCGGCATATCATCGGAGGGAGAAGTGCAACCAACAGTCACTTGAGCGTACTCAGATCCTCCCTTTTGATTGCGTCTTGTCGGCCTAGAGCTCCGAGCCATTGACATCTTTCGCAATGTGTGCGCAAAACCACCCCCGAGCAAGAGATATCGCAAGCATTCTAGACCATACCAGATAAGGGCAGCTTGGGCGCGTCGTCAGAACAACATATTCGATTAGCAATACTCTGAAGGCAGTCACAGGCTCCAATCAATGGGGAATTCGGTTCGCAAAGAGACCAGCGACTTTCAAACTCTGCAACGCCTATCATGGTCATACGACGGGGCGGTGCCGACCGATCCTCGCACGAGGAAGTTGATATGGCTGTGATAGTTGGTTTATTTGCGACGTGCTGTCGGAAAGCTTTCATCGGAGAGTTGGCCGTTCAATGCGTCCACAGGTGGGTGGGTGACACCGAGACCCTGACAGGTGACATGCGGCGCAAGGATTCATTCGAATGTTGAACAACTGAACAGATGTATTGAAGCTAGCCATGATCAAGCGATGCGTCTTCGATGCGGATACAGATGCGTTCCTGAAACAATGCGCGATTGACGGCTGAATGATGTCACTTCTAGAATGGGGCGAGAGCGGTTTCAAGCCTCCCGAAGCTGTACCTCACAGTCTTTGACCGGATGAATCAGCTCATCGTCCTTATTGTTTATATCAATGTTCACAGTTGACTTGTCCCGTACCTGACGACCTTTGTTGATGGTTCAACACCTTCGGGGCGGAGTCTGACGTTCGCGATGGCACTAGGGACCGGGGACCGTGGCGCATGCAGCTGCAGGGCTCTTCGTGCACTTTCATCCTTGGCCGATCGAAAGCCATTCCGTACTCATCAATTGCCTTTTGCCTTTCTTGTTTGCGCCTTCTACATTTAATTCACAGCAGCCGCATCGCGCCTGCTTCCTTTGTTTACACGCGTCATCCCGATTGGCATGCTGCTTGGCCGAGTCTCACTCGCCGCCTGCAAACGAAGCTTCCTTGCGACACCTTCACGCACCCTACCGTTGTCCGCATCACGCCCGCGCTCCCTCTTTCAAACGCCGCACCTCACGAGGCTGTCTAGCTCTAGCGCACACCCCCTCGGCAAACGCTCCCTCCACACGTCGTCGCCTATAAATACCTCGCTGCCAATGGAACAAAATGGCACAAGCAAGCGCAAGCAACCGCCAACTTCGCCCGCAACGGACCGCCCAAACAAGCAGATCAAGCCCGAAGTAGACTCGCATACCTCAAACGGCGTCATGTCGCACTCGCCCGACCTGGAGGAGCCCATGGACGATGCGCGCAGCGAGTACAGCGCCCACAGCTCCCCCGACGCCCTCCCGTCGTCAGCGCACATCACCGCCGTCACGGGGCAGGACACGGCAGAATGGCAGCGGACGATTGAGAACGTGGTCAAGAGCGTCGTATCGATACACTTCTGCCAGACGTGTTCGTTCGACACGGACCCGGCCATCAGCTCAGAGGCGACGGGCTTTGTCGTCGACGCCGAGAAGGGCTACATCCTCACCAACAGGCACGTTGTCGGCGCCGGCCCCTTCATCGGCTACTGCATATTCGACAACCACGAGGAGTGCGACGTCCACCCCGTCTACCGCGACCCCGTCCACGACTTCGGCATCCTGCGCTTCGACCCCAAGAAGATCAAGTACATGCCCGTCACCGCCCTTAAACTGCGCCCCGACAACGCCAAGGTTGGTGTCGAGATTCGCGTCGTCGGTAACGATGCGGGAGAGAAGCTCAGTATCTTGTCGGGTGTCATCAGTCGGCTGGATCGCAATGCGCCCGAATACGGCGAGGGCTACTCCGACTTCAACACCAACTACATCCAGGCGGCAGCTGCAGCGAGTGGAGGCTCTTCCGGCAGTCCTGTTGTGGACCGCGACGGATTTGCCGTTGCGCTACAGGCCGGTGGACGTGCTGACGGTGCTGCGACCGACTACTTCCTGCCGCTAGACCGACCGCTACGTGCTCTCGAGCTCATCCGCCAAGGCCGACATGTCACCAGAGGCACCATTCAGACTCAGTGGATACTCAAGCCGTTCGACGAGTGCCGGAGGTTAGGTCTCTCGCCTGAGCTGGAGAAGGAGATCCGCACTCAGTTTCCCAAGGAGACAGGCATGCTCGTAGCTGAGGTTGTCCTTCCTCAAGGGCCCGCATCTACCAAGGTCGAAGAAGGTGATCTTCTCCTACGCGTCAACGGAGAGTTGCTTACACAGTTTGTCCGACTCGATGCGATCCTTGACGACAACGTCGGCAAGACCATTTCTGTAACCATACAGCGTGCTGGGGAGAACATGGATGTCGAGCTAGACGTTGGCGACCTACATGCCATCACCCCCGACAAGTTCGTCTCCGTCGCAGGCGCTTCTTTCCACGACCTCTCATACCAGCAAGCGCGTCTTTACGCCATCTCGCTCAAGAACGCAGGTGTATACGTCTGTGAGGCAGCGGGCTCCTTTAGGTTCGCTGACGGCTACACATCAGGGTGGTTGATTCAGGAAGTTGACAACCAACCAACACCCGACCTTGACACTTTCATCCAAGTCATGAAGAAGATCCCAGATCGCAAGCGAGTGGTTATGATGTACAAGCATCTGCGCGATCTGCACACTGCGAACACTAGTATTACTTCTGTCGACAGGCATTGGCATGCAAAGATTCGCGTAGCAACACGTAATGACGAAACTGGCCTGTGGGACTTCAAGCCCCTTGCCGATGCCATTCCATCTGTGCCCCCAGTTCCTCGCCGTGCGAACTTCGTCAAGATGAGCTCAAGCTATCCTGAGGCCGTAGACATCGTCCGCAGCTTCGTACGCGTTCATGTGTCTATGCCCATTAAGCTAGACGGCTTTCCTAAGATGAACAAACAAGGCTACGGTCTTGTTGTCGACGCTGAACAGGGTCTCGTCCTCGTCTCAAGAGCGATTCTGCCATATGACCTTTGCGACATCTCGTTGATCATCGCTGACAGCATTTTCGTCGATGCCAAGGTTGTCTTCATGCACCCATTGCAGAACTATGCCATCGTCAAGTACGATGCCTCTCTTGTCAACGCCCCTGTAAAGACGCCCAAGTTCGCGACCGACTTCATCAAGAAGGGAGCCGAGACCATCTTCTTCGGCATCAACCAGAACTTCCGACCTGTCGTAGCGAAGACTGTCGTCACTGATATCACCACAGTTGCGATTCCAGCGAGCGCGATAACACCGAGATACCGCGCAACCAACTTCGACGCCATCACCGTGGACACCAACCAAGCCTCGCATAGTGGCTCTGGTGTACTCGTCGCGGAGGATGGTACCGTCCAGGCTCTTTGGCTCTCATACCTGGGCGAGCGGACATCACACAGCGGCAAGGATGTTGAGTATCACCTCGGTCTTGCAACACCCAACCTTCTCCCGGTGCTCAACGAGATCCGCGGCGGCAACACACCCAAGCTACGTATCTTGAATGTCGAGTTCCAGACCGTCCAGATGAGTCAAGCCCGCGTCATGGGCGTCTCAGAGGAATGGATCGAGAAGACCGAGACAGCCGATCCAGAGCGCCACCAGCTCTTCATGGTCCGCAAGGTCGACTCCGGCCACGGCGACGGTCTCAACGAAGGCGATGTCCTCCTCACCCTCAACGGCAAGCTTGTCACCCGCTCCCCCGATCTGGACGTCATGTACAACAACGAGTTCCTCGACGCCGTCGTCGTGCGCAAGCGCGAGGAGAAGACCATCAAAGTCTCAACCGTCGCAACTGAAGATCTCGAAACCGACCGCCTCGTCAGCTTCTGCGGCGCCACCTTCCACCGCCCCCACCAAGCCGTGCGCCAACAAATCAGCAAAATCCACTCCGACGTCTACATCTCGTCGCGAGCCCGCGGCTCCCCAGCCTACATGTACGGTCTCGCGCCCACCAACTTCGTCACACACGTAAACAACGTACCCACGCCCAACCTCTCCGAGTTTCTCACCGAAATCAAGAAGATCAAGGATAACGAGTACTTCCGCATGAAGGTCATGACCTTTGACAATGTGCCGTGGGTTGCGACGATGAAGAAGAATGAACATTACTTTCCTACTATTGAGCATGTCAAGGATGCGAGTCAGCCGTTGGGCTGGAAGAAGATTATTCATGAGTGTGGGGATGGGGGCGCGATGGAGGAGATGGGTCCGGATGAGTTGGAGGCTGAGGCGGGGGAGGAGTAAATCGTGTTTCCTGAGAAGGGCAATGGTTCTTGACTGTGTAAGATGTAGCGTACGGATGATAGAAGTAACAGAGAATCATGCATTCAATTATCTGGAATTTGTTCCCAGACGTGATCTTTGAATCTCTCTTTGAGTGTCATATAACCTCAGTCCTAATCCAGTCCCGTCCCCAAAGTAGGAAAAGAAACAGCTCTTCTCAGACTGACTACACCCCTAGTGGAGCCTGCCGTGTAGATGACTCAGTCTCATATCTGTCGACAGACGTCTGCGACGCATACTAGCGTAGCGCAGAGTGAGTATCCCTCAAGCCTCCTCCTCCAGCATCTCCTCTTCCTTAACCTCCTCCTTAACCTCAACCTTCTTCTTGCGACCCCGGGGCGTAGCTTTCTTCTTTGGAGAACCATCTGCTTCACCACCATCCCCACCGTTGCCATCATCATTGGCCTCGAGATCAAGCTTGCTCTTCCGCTTCTTGGGTGTAGCTTTGGCCTTGGGTTTCTCGGGAGAGACGTCGGTAGCAGTAGAAGCGGCAGGGGCAAAGGCTTGACCGTTCTTGATCTTGACAATGTCGTCTTTATGCTTTTCCTTGAGGCGGACGAGGAGTTTCTTGCAGGAGATGACGGAGCGGCCTACGGGGATGGGCGCGTTCTGTGGGGTTGTTAGTTTTGGGATACGTTGATGAGTGCGAGCTTGGGGTTTGAGTTGGAAGCTCGTGAGCGGGAGGTAGTGTCAGAGGGAGGGGCACTTAAGCCGATCTTTGCATCGATCTTGCCTTCGTTCTCACAGAGGACGATGAGGTATGCGATCTGTGGTACGTTTAGCCGAGGTAATTGGGAATAAGTTCATGGAGGGTAGACTCACTTTCTCGCCTTCAGACCAGGCGGCACCGCTTGCGCCAGTTTTGTTGGGGGTCTTGGGGTCGGTGTCGGACATCTTGGAGATGTTTTCTGGGTGTTGTGGGAGCTTGTGTGAGGATGTTCTACGTCTTTGGCGTAGAAGTCGATGTGGTGTGGAAGACTTGGTCAAGAGCAGGAGGAGGTGGTGAGGTAGATACGGGCACGGAGGGATGGGAAATCGGCAGCTTTGAACTCACCTTCACGTCGCATTTGCGATGAAGTGAGCCCGTTCGTCCTTGATAGGGAAGTGAACGGTGAAATGAGGTGACGGCGTGGACCTCGGAACATAACAGCTAATCATGGTGAACTGGGCTTTCTATTTGCGCTATGAGAGACCGTGCTGGTTCTTGCTGCTTGAGTCTATCATTTTCTTCTGCATTTTGACAGCATTGTATCTGTAGAAGCCCTTCGAATCGCCAGTCTCTAAGCGGTCCAAAGAAAGTGTATCTATCTAGGTAGGTAGCGGTAATCAATCTCAGTTCCACACTGCGAATCACCGTCCACCCTTCTCATGCCATCCTCGAAGTTGTCTCAGATTTATGCCGTATCTTCCTTGTCAATTCCAACAATCCACGTCAGTTTAGGGAAAAACCAAAGCAGGTGCTCCAACGTTGATGTAGGCTCCGGACCTGTTCAGCTTTTTCCTTGTATGAGGTGAATTAGGAAATGTGATGTTCTACTTGCCTAGAGCGCATCATGTCGTCAGCCAATCTACTTGCAGCACTAGCCCGGGTCAAGCTTAGCACCGCAGCTCACCTCCCATTCTCCTCTTCACCTCATCGCCACTTCTCCCGTTCCACCAACACGACAATGCTTGAGATAGCTTGCTTCAATGCTACCTCTGCCATCGCAGCAGCTCAAGCTGGAGCTGATCGAATCGAGCTGTGTGCCGACTACGCAGCTGGCGGGGTAACGCCTTCCCTCTCAACGCTGCAGGATGTACGGAAAAAAGTCAAGATCCCGATCAACGTTATGATCCGGCCACGAGGAGGCGACTTCAACTACTCCGACGATGAGTTTGAGCTCATGAAGAAAGAGATAGAGATGCTTAAGCCTTTTGCTAGCGGTTTCGTTTTTGGCATCTTGATGGTCAATCGATATGTAGACCCCACTCGTAATCGCGACCTGGTCGAGATTGCTGCTCCGCTCCCTTGCACGTTCCATCGGGCCATTGACGAAACAGACGATTTAGAGGAAGCCGTGGAGGCCGTTGAGAACTGCGGTTTCAAGAGCATCTTGACAAGTGGCGGATATAAGACCGCAGCGGAAGGGGCTACTGCTCTTCATCTCTTGCACTTCTCTCGGCCCAATACGGTCTCGCTGATTGTTGGAGGCGGGGTCAGAAGCACCAATGTTGAGGATCTCAAGAGGAGGACCACATTAGAATGGTTTCACTCCGCAGCCATCACAACACCTGGAGAAGATGTTGACGCTGAGGAAGTGAGAAAGATGAAGGATATTTTGTCAAAACTCAAATGGAAGCAATGAGACGTGGACATGAAGGGTACGATATTATTCATTAAGCGTGGCGCATCAATACTGGGCTGCCACAGGATGTATACGACATGCATGTGCTAAGACTCCAGCGGGTATCATCCATTCGGAATTGCCTCAAATACAACTCCTGAGGCTCCTCCATTCAAACAGTTCACTGCGACGTGTATGACTCCCGAAAGCAAACTGCTTACAAAAGTGCGTATAGCAAAGCACCGACCACCGACATTCCAAAGGATCTTGTTGTGTCGACAGACACCTGTCCGGCGGCTCCAGTAGATTGCGGCGAGGCATCGGAAGCTTCGGGAGTTTGTGTCACAACGTTGGTCTTAGCGGCGATTGTTGTGGCTTGCGTAACGGTGGTAGCGGGTACGGTGGTCTTGACCTCTACTCCACTAATAGTCGCCGTCTCGACAGTCTCCGCGACAGTTGTCGGCGCCGAGTATGTGACGGCCGGGACAGTGGTTGTGTAGACGATGACCTTTCCGAGTTCTGTGACTGGGACCGCTCCACCAACACCAGTACCGGTGTACTGTGCCGGGACCGAGAGGGTCGAAGTGTTTGGCTTCTCAGCCTCGTTGTTCGCGTAGATGTTGGCGCTCTGGCCGTCCTTTGTGTAATCTCCGCTGACGAGGTTGACATCGGTGCCGCCGGAGCTGTAGGTTCCGGCAGCGACGTTTCCGTAAGATCCGTCTGGGAACTGGAAGTTGGTGGTGAACTTGTCGTAGCACATGGGAATGTTGATGTTCTTTACGTTGACACAGTCTAGGCTCTGACGGCACCCGAAACCGTCCGCACGTCCGTGTACAGATCGCTTGTCGAAAGAGATGCCCTGAATCGACGAGAGGATGTCGATATAAAGCGAGCTGAGCTCTGTGCCGACTGTTGGTGGAGTTGTGCCTGTCGCTCCTTGCGGCTGGCATGCCTCGTAAGGGTCGTCGTTCGTGGCTTTCGCCATGGAGTCGAATGGCGACGCAGTTGCGACGGCCGCAAGAGCGAGGGAGAAAAACTTCAGAGACATTTTGTTGAGATGTGGTGTGTCGTGGGAATAGTAGATCTTCTGGTACCGAGCGATGGTTATAGGTATTACACGATTGTTACACGGTGTAGTACTGAATGACCGGCGACCTTCAACAAGAGTAACGAATGGCAAACGCAGGCGCGCGAATGTAAAAGCGAGTGACGGAAGGATACGACAGTATACCTGCCAAGGGTCAGAGGGGCGCCCCGAGTCTATATACTGGCTGTGCCCATATCGCTGGTGCTAACGGGGTTTAATCAGGCTCGATCTTACAGCCGAACTAGCCAACAGGCACCATGCGCTTTACAACTGACGGCGCGCCACAATGCGATAGGACGTTTACCAACTGCCTGGGATCTGTTATCCGTTGGGCGATCATGTGTTCATCCCCCAAGGCCTTGCCCAGGGGCGGCCTTCGTATTGGATTCCCACAGGATTGGCTGCCATACACACACAGCCCAAGTTTTTGGCCCCGCCAATGAGAACACCATCGCATTTGGCAGTTCCAGGAAAGTCAGCCGCGATGCCAGAACTTTGCTCATGCGCTGCTCATGCGACCGACTGAAATGCCATGCGCCAATAACGCACCGCTAGCCATTAAACGAGCTCATGGTCGCCTGATTCGCCGGGAGATAAATCGGCAGCCTCCAACCGAAGCGCGCTGCGAACGGACTTTTTCCTCATCCCTCAAGCCACGAAACGGCCTTTCATTCGAGATCACGAGAATTTGCAGTGCCGACATCCTTCCGTCTTACTCCAGGTTTGGCCAAGCCCACAACGCCTATCCGTCAACAAATAAAGAGAATTGCGGGCTTCAGCGTCATAAGCGGCAGCCCCGAGTCCCATCCAGGGCAAGCATGCAGTGTTTGGCCCTGGTTGGTCCCTGACAGCACACCCACAAAACTTGCGGCCACGCGCACGCTGCCGTCCCAAATTTCTCTGCAGCGCTAACACGCGACGGTTTTTGTGCGACGGTGATCATTCCCCTGAGCGGCGATAGCGCTCATGTCAAGACTTTGCGGACAGCTCGGCGTTCGCTCGAGCCTTACCTTATTTTGGCCCGCCCAGGTACACCACCAAGACTCTGTATCCTCATGCTAAGATAGGTAGCCTGTCAACAAAGAGACGATAAGAATAGCTTTGTCGTTGCATTCTTCTAGTCCACGGTTTTAGCTTTGCGCTGACCCAATAGGAATATCAGACGGAAGAAATTATTACCGAACAATTCGCGCATTAAGAGCCCTGGAGTGCAATGGTCGCGGTTATTCGGCACTCGATTAGGTTGCTTACCGAGATTTACTTTCGTGTTTTCCTCGCTTCGTCACGCGATTCTTTATCGCTGCACTGAGCTGCTTCACACTAGGGGAGACGGACTGGCAATTATCATCGGTTCATTCCCGAGCCGTCGTTTGTTCTCAATCAGACAACACGTCGCGTGCGTTGTTCCGCTACGGTACAGACTACAGTTTACCCCACCACCATGCCAAGCTGTAAGCAGGGCTAGCTAATAATAGAGTTTTTGTCGGGGATCGACGCAGGAACAAAGCAGCTTACATCTGCACGCGGGACGCACAGCGCATGTGTTAAGGGGATGTCACCATGGAGATGTCTTCGACTTGATCGTCAGGGTGCTGTTCCGCAGTCTCAACCTGATCGTGCGGATCCGGTATCAAAGATTTACGATGCGCGTATGCGGGACTATCTGCACCGGCACCTAAGGAATTTTCCAATGAAGTTCTATACGAGGTAGGACCGATAGCGTGGAATCGGTCATGCGACGAGACCGGAGCGGAGCGGAGGTGCAGCCTGCATATGTGCCGTGAGAGTACGTGCAGTAGCCGACCTGAAACACATCGTGAACTGTCGACGAAGTCCAGGCTTGTTTGTCTTCACAGTCAGTGTGTTGTATCTTGTCCGAAGTTACTTTTTCCCTCAACCTCGCCTAATGGTTAGTCGCGGACGTGCCGAAGCGATGTTTTGATGCCTGCTCAGTGCGTCAGGACCATCAGGTGCTTACGGACTTTGGTATCGCAACATACATCCACTTCTCAGTATTTGCAATAATGACTATCTGGACAACATGTTTGCGACACAGGTTGCCCGCAAGTTTGTTGATATTTTGGATCGGCTAAGTTTGACTGTCGGAAGGCGTTGCCAGAAGGTGTAAGCTTCTTGCAGTATGTCTGAAGAAGCCAAGAAAATGACAGATAGCTAAATGAGCGTGTTGAATACAGTGGAAGAGACTTCCCAAAAACACCATTCGTTGCAGGTCAGCAACAGTATACCGAGAACACGTCTCCAGTTCATACGTTGCTGACTTCAGCCCTCAGCCTTCCATTCACTTTGGAACATACAAACAACTCTTCCCATCAGCCGCACCTTTGCAACAATCCACTCTGATACTCAGCCCGGCATCATCAACCGGTTGATTGGACACGCTCAAACGCGCATTCACACATTTCCCCGAATAATTGTCTGTCAAAACTGGGTCTCCCACGCAATTAGGTTGGAAATATACTCTC